TGTCGGCCGTCGCTAAACGGCCCAAGACTTCTTCAAGCGTGAGCCCCCGGGCAGCCGGAAATTATCGGCCGCCGCTAAACGGCTTAGAGCTTCCTCTTTGCCCGGCTTGCCCAGGCAGCGAGAAATTTTCGGGCCGTCGCAAGACTTGTTTGACTTTGAGGCCCCGCGCCCCCAGTAAGGGCCCCGGCTTTCGCCTTTTTGCCTTTCCTTAGAAGCCTTTTTGATGGGCGGGGAACGCACGCCGGTCGCAGGCCGTTTAGCGACGAAGCATACTTTCCTTGCCCTGGTGGCTCTCTAAAACAATGACAGCGCTGGGCCGTTTAGCGACGCGCTCCGAATTTCCTTTTCTCGGCTTTGAAGCCTCCTTACTCTGCGAGCAGGGCGCCTAGCAAGAGCTTTAACGAAAGCGGGCGGCCGTCCGGCCGCTGATAAACTGCTTGTGTAGTGCGATATCGTCTGGCTTGGGCTCTAGCTCCCGCCAAGCTGGGAAGCGCACGAGCCCCCTGGCATGGCTTCTAGCCAGCCCGGCTGGGGCCCCCAGTAAGGGCCGCAAGACACGCCGCCGGAAATTCTCAGCCGTCGCTAAACGGCCTAAGACCTGTTCAATTTTTTCCACCCGGGCGGCCGGAAATCGGCCAGCGCTAAACGGCTTAGGGCTTCCTTCCTGCTCAAGCCGCCCAGGCAGCCGGAAATTTCCGACCGTCGCTAAACAGCCAAGTTTTTCAAGCTGCGGAACTCTCGGCCGTCGCTACACAACATCACGTTTCCGAGCCCTTCTTGGCAGCCGGCCAGGTTGGCCATATCCTTAGAGATTTTGGCAGTCGTCGCTAAACGGCCCAGAGCTTTCCCTTGTTTTCGACGCCCCGACCCGCCGGAAATTCTTGATCGTCGCTAAACGGCTTGCAACTTTCGCATTTTTCAAGCTGCCTTTCAAAAGAAATCTTTTTGATGGCCAAGGAGCGCGTGCCAGTCGCAAGCCGTTTAGCGACGAAGCAAAATTTCCGCGCGATGGGGCCTCCAAAAACAAAGAAAGCGCAGGCCGTTTAGCGACGCGCTCCGAGTTTCCTTTCCTCGGCTCCTACGCTAAGCGGCCTCGCGTTTCTACGCCCAACCGCCCCGGCGGCGCCAAATTCGCGGGCCGTCGCTAAGCGGCAGGCTCTCGCATGCTTTATCCCGCGCGCCGCCGCCCGGCCGCGCTCGCCGTCGCCTTGCTCGCCTCGCGCTGCCGGGCCCGGCGCGCCCGTGCGGGTCAGAGCCAACAAGACATCGCCAAGAGAAGCAAGAGGAGGAGGTCGGGAAAGCCCCTGGCGGTTCAGTTTCTTGAACCCTAAACCCTGAAAGAGCTGTGGCTGGAGTGGGTCGTGGGTGGGATCTACGGCCCCCGCGGGAGCGAGCGGCTTGGGGTGGTTTGTTCCACCCGAGCGAGCGGACACATCTGTCACACCCTAAACCCTAAACCCTAAACCCTAAACCCTAAACCCTAAACCCTAAACCCTAACCCAGGGAGCGCCTGCGCCCAAGAAAGCGCTTGGATATGAGCAGAAGGCTTTTCGAGCCACAAAGCTCCACGACAGAAGCGCACTTACAAGGCCAGAAACAGCGCTCACGCTCCGTGTTCACCCCCAGGTCCTGCTCGATGTACTTCTTGACGGGGATCCAGCCATCATCGATGTTGACGCTTGGGCTGAAAACGTAGATCCGCTCAAACACGCCCTTGTACTGCTCCAGGATGAGACTGATGAGCGCCACAGTTTTGCCCGACTTGCTGGGCCCAAGGAAGATGCCCGTGCATGGCACCAGGGGCACCACGGGGTCCGAGGCTTGCTTGCTGGTGTACTCAGGCGTGGGGAAAAGCTTGATCTTCCCCATTCGTCCTTTTGCGTTACGCAAGTTCCGGAAGCCGGCAGCTGAAGTATACGCGCTGGCCTATCTGCGGCTGCCCTAACCCAGCAATGCAATCCTGTTGCCGGCGCAGGATTGACGGAGACGCAACCCAAGGCTCACATGCAGCAAATGAGGCCAAGAGAATTCCACCCTTCTGCTCTGAGTTACCGTTGCGCTTAGAAAGCACTTATCATGCTTTTCGAGCCACAAAGCTCCGCAACAGAAACGCACTTACAAGGCCAGAAACAGCACTTTAAGCCCGGGCAACTTAAACTTCCGAGACGCACAGAATGCGACTAGGACCCGTTTTGCCTGCATATTGAAGCAAGCTGAAAACCCTTGCAGAAGTGCAAGCAGAAGGGCTGTGGCCGCACCGCGCAAAACCACCAAATTTTCGCAGAATCCACATTTGCTGAACGATAACCTCTGAAGATGCGCTGTGAGCGTTTTTAGATTTCACAAATAACAGAGAGAGGTCCGCAGCACGTTGCGCCTCCATTAATGGGACGCACGGATTTGGTCGCCATCTCCCCGCTCATCGCCCACCGATCTGACATGCATAGCAGTGTGCACCCTGAATCCTAATACCCTACTCAGTATGTTGCACTCCTGGAAGAATGTTAACCTGAGCAACGAACTGGGCCAGGCTCAGCATCTTTCCGTGGTAGGAAAAGAGCCAAGGAAAGGCATGAAGGTCAGCGTCGTAGTCGCCGCTGGCGCCGCCGCTCACATAGACCGTACGGATGTAGTGATGGCCCTTCTTGCCGTACCCGGGCCCGGCCCCCAACAGGTACAGAAGCGAAAGAGCGACGTTTGAAATAGGCTCTCTCGGTTGTGGCCCTGCTCCACCATCCTGAGGGCGAACGTCGCGTCCTTGTCGAAGCGGTCGACGACGTTCTCGTGCCCCAGCTTCCTTGCCCTCTGGTCGTAATTCTTCGAGGCCTCGATCTGCTTCGCCTCAAAGGAGGTAGCGCCACGCTTGGCGACGTCATTATACCCTTTGAAGTCGCCAATCATGTGCTAGTTGACGGAATTCCCCACTCGATGGCATACTTCTTCCAACATCTGAGTCCGTCTCTTCGCCGCCCAGAACAGCTGGATGTCGCTCGTCTCCTTTGCGCCATGCCCGCAGCGTTGGCATTTCAACTGCCCTTGCATCATATCTTCTCCACAGGCATCGCAGTCAGTGTAGCGAATGGGCGTGGCAAAGGTCTTGAACCTGATGGCCGACGAATCGGCCTCGGGTTGGCCCGGGCAAGTTGAGCCAGCCGTGTCCTCATTCGTCTGCTCCTCTTCAGGGTTCTTGGCCCTGTTGCCCTCCTTGTCGGTCTGAAAGGCCTCATCCGATGTCACGATGACGGCTTGCCTTGCGGCAAGCGATTCGACACTCGTCTGATTCTCCAACGCGTCCAGGCGAGGGCATTTCTCCAAAGGACCTTGCCGGTGCTTCGTGGATGGCATCATTGGGAACAATGTCGGAGGTCAGCGTGACGTCGGATTCAGAAAGGAAAAATATGACCCCTAGCTCAACTGCGTTTTTGAAGTCGACCACCAGCTCGATGGGCATGGTACGCCTCCTGGGACGACTCCCGTCCGCGCGACGCTGTCCGCCTCCCATTCATACCAGGTAAAATCCGTCGGCGCATCGTCCGTAGGATCTGGTCCCGATACTAGTTCAGCCTCGTCTTCATGACGAGCAATGACTAATGCAACCGCCTTCGTCCAATTTGGAGTCGGTCGTGTTTGGGTGCGGCGCAGGGCTTGGGCTTGGGCACTGCTGCTTTGGGCGCCTTGCACTTGGGCGGGGGGAGTGCGCCGGAGACTTGGGCGCTGCTTTGGGCGTGGGTGGGAAGAATGCGCTGGACGCTGCCTTGGACTTGGGCGCTGCTCTGGGCGCTGCTGCTTTGGGCGCTCTCACCCTCTTGGGCCGGAACGGGGGGCCGTGTGCTGGCTTTGTGGGCAGGTCTGGGATCGTTTTTTTGCTCTTCGGCAGGGGCATCTTGGGCGGCTTGGGCTTGTTCTTGCTGCCCGGGGGCCTGCCTCTTGGCTTTGGCGCCGGTTGCGCTTGCTTCATCGGTTTTTAATAGGAAACATTTTTTTAAAAGACCTTTGGAGGATTAAACGTGATCCAAAAACAGGACGAGCCATGGATGAGTGTCGAACCATAGCGGGTTGCAAGACCTGCCGGACATTTTCGTTGCTGTACCATCTCCAATGAGGGGGGTGTGGATTCAGGTTCCAACCCTATGCATGTGTATGCTCCGCCTGCCACAGACTTCAAGATCACTGACAGCAGTGTGGAAAGGTAGTCAACGGTTTGCTGCTTGCCTAGGTTTCCCCCATAGGTGGCCTAGGCTTGACTGTTGTTGTTGTTGTTGTTGTTGTTGTTGCTGTTGCTGTTGCTGTTGCTGTTGCTGTTGCTGTTGCTGTTGCTGTTGCTGTTGCTGTTGCTGTTGCTGGTGCTGGTGCTGTTGCTGCTGCTGCTGCTGCTGCTGCTGCTGCTGCTGCTGCTGCTGCTGCTGCTGCTGCTGCTGCTGCTGCTGCTGCGCACACACACACGCGCATCAACTTGTGAGTGTTATATGGGTTTGTTTTAGGATGGACGTTGCCATGGCCGCCATCTGACTTCATGTGGATCCATTGCAATTTTTATGCGCCCAAGATCTGATTTTGCATGAACATCCTTTGGCGCAGCGCAAAAAACATACACTAAACATGCAGAATTGTGTAACAATACTGTTCTAAGGACAAGTCATGGCGCGACTGGTGGCAAGCATGGCCGCATCTGCAGAAGGCAATCCAACATGCCGGCAGCGCCGTCAGCCAAGGTTGAGTATCTCCACATGAACGTCGCGCATATTCTTGGAGCAACACTTGTTTTGACTAGCAACGTTCTGTTTTGAACTTTCACAGTTAGTGGTCTTCACAGGGCACTGAACGCCAATTTTCCGACGGAACTTTGTGTTTTATCTCTGACACCCAGCGATACTCCTGAACAAGGCACACACAAAAACACAAGCACAAACGCATGGATGGCGTCAAGGTTTTGCAAAGGTGACACTTGGTCATGTAGAGGTCCTCGAGATCACACATGCTTACATGGCACCGTTGCCTTTAAGCGGCTTATAGTTTGGATAGACTTTACGAAGGATCCGTAAAAAGATGCCGCTTCCTGATGCAGAGGTGCGGCTCGAGATGCACCTTGCCACACAGACGCGTGTTGAGTTGCATGGTTGAGATTGCTATTGTCGGCTTTGATTCAGGAGGAGGGCTTGCTGGTGGAGGAGCAGCTAGTTTCTCGAGTTTCCCCAAGGCGCACTCCGGTCACAGGGTTCTCGCTTCGAGCTTTGGCGTCACGTTTGCTGCACACGCGGATGATTACGGGCACACATATGCACACACACATACGCATACGCGCGCACACGCACACACACACACACACACGCACAAACACTCTCACCATGTGTTGGGGAACGTGCTGTGCCTTGGCAGGCGATGGCGCAACACAGCAGCCGTGGCCGTCCTGATTGCCTGCGTGGCTGCAGCACCCTGGTACGCTTGCGGTAGGGGGAGAACTTGTACAATTGCATGTCATGCTGCTAGTGCTGAGCTTCATTTCTCCTAGCCGCTTTTCAAGTGTTCTGCAAGCTAGCGTGCGTCCAAACATCTTTCACGGTGTGCAGTTGTTTGTTTGTTTTTTCTTCTTCTCTTTGTCCACGACCTTGACTTGAATACATGAGCATGACAGCGCAAGACACAGCCACACAAAGGATTCGTTCGCTCCATTGGCGGGTGAGGTCCAACATCCCCACTATCTAATGTATGGAAGGGGAAGACCACCAATTGAAACCCATTTCTCGTACACATTCTTTTTGTTGATTGAGGGGGATCACGATTTGTCCAGGGCTTGGTGCGGTTTGCACTGAGGCACTAGTGCTTGTCGTGGCGCCTGCGTCGCCTGCTGCTCCGGCGTCGAAATCACCAGCGCTAACCCGGCTGGCCGCGGCTCGGCCGGATTTCGGTTGGATCCAGTCGAATGGAAGGTGAAGTACAGTGAGCCTTGGGCCTATTTTACTTGCCAGAGTTCCAAGGCTGCAGTTCCCGTGGCTCCGCTGCCCCCTGCAGTCGCCAAAGCGGCCCCTGCGGCTGCGGCCCCCGCGGCTGCGGCCGCGGCAAAGGCGGCCCCGGCCGCGGCTGCGGCTGCTGCCAGCGCAGCGAGCGCCGCGAGCGCGGCGCACGGGCAGAACGCCACCACAGCGGCGCATGCTGCACTTGCGTGCAAAACAGCGGAGCCGGGTGACAAGTGCTACAAGGAGCGGTGAGCGAACATGAAACATGCATTTGCTTGGTTTGCTGAGCAGGGCCTATGAGTGAGCAGGCTTGGTTGGTGAGCACCTTGGGCTATTGTTCATAGTTGTGATACCTGAATTTTTGCAAGCCGTGCTTTGCCGAGTCTGTTTGAACCAAACTCCCCAGCAACAATTCGACAGCTCTGTGTTTGAAGAATTCAATTCACGTCACGGTTGAAGGCGCTTCATTGCGTAACAAGCCAAAAGGAGCATCATAGTGATGGTGGGGCTCAGACGGTAGTGACGGCAACCGCACTGGCGAGAGGATGGATTGAGAATTACTTAATGCATATGAATCCAGGCATGACTATGGCAATGCTACCCATGATGTTGACGATAACAGCAATCACGACGACTGGGATCACGACGACCGGGCTGATGATGGTGCTGGTTGTGATGGTGGTGTTCATGATGGTGTTCCCGATGGTGACGGCTGTGATCGTCATAATTGTGATGAGAACTACTGCAGTCACGGGCGCAGTGGTTGTGCAGAATTCGTTTGTTGCTGGATACATTGAAAGGCAAGGGAGGACCCTGTACATGTTGACAAGCACCACGTGCATACACTCGCCCACTTTACCGCAAACAACAATGAGCACAGACACACCTCTAATTGTGCAGGCAGTGCTGTGGGCAAAGTGGATTCTTGGCCGCACTGCACATTTGGCTATGAAGTTCAATGGGGAATCCCACCAAAGGTTTCTTATTTGAAACTCATACCAACTCATCCCCATCATTAGCATGTTTGGAGTGCAGTTCGTTTGGTAAGAAAGCGCAAAGCCGAGGATTGGCCTGGTGGAGCATCCAGACTGGTATCCAGGGTTGAAGCGTGCAACTGCCAACCGGCTGGCCATTCAGGACCGTCCCAGTGCTCGTGAAGTGGGACCCGTTCGCTCCACTCTTCCTTTGGGTTTAGACCCAACACCAGGTCCGAGGTCGCAAAAACCTGGAGGATATGGACCCTCTAAAATGGGCGGTTTTCCTTTTCAGCCAAACCCAAAAAGCGTATCTTTTAAAAGGACACCCCATAGTTCAAATGTTCCTTTCAGTCCAGTTTTCACATTGAGCTCATCTCTGGCGCGTAACTTGCGTGAGTTTTCTCCTGGGGTGGTTGGTGCAATGTAGGGAGCTCTGTTGACATTCGCGTGCTTCGACATATTTTGGTGATTAGCACATCCCATGGAAAAGCGCAAGAAGCAACGGAAGCAGAAAGGGCCCAGACTCTTTGGCCACGAGCTGTGCCAGGCCTGGTTGGCTGACCACAAGCAAGGACCGAGTGGGTGACATGCGCAGTTTTGATACTCGTTGCCAGCAAAAGCGTGAGGAATCCATTGCCCTTGGGCATATATGCAAGGTTTAGTCCAGCTGAGTTGGCTCATTGGTACACTACCTTTAGCGTCCAGTCTCTTGAGCAGCTGCTTTTGGCGGTTGCCGTTAGCCCGATCCTCAATTCTTGCAACATCTTGTCCGGTTCGCATTTTTTTTGGGGGTGCGGCACTGACTCTTGAGTTGTTTCCCAAAGACCAACTCTCCAGAAAACGACACCTCGCATCATGCGGATATCTGCGGATGGCCGGCCAGTGCCAGGTGAGTCACGGCTTGAGACTTTTTGCCCTTTGATGCGAGGGTAGTTTTGGAAGGACACACCAAAATGGCCGTGGGTGCCCCGCTTGCGAGACAGTGAACTACCGAGGTCACGAGCTGTGAGCAACGCTCCAAAACCCCAAACCATTGGCCATTTTGGTAGCGCACCCACCTCATTTGACGTCGATTAATTTCAGCTTGATGTTTTTGCTTGTGAGGCAGGGAACAACCTCATTCTGCAAACTTGCTCTGCTTGAATGAAGCATGCATAGGCAATGACCTCTCACATGCAGCCCTTGGCTCGTGCGCCGGATTCATTTCTTTACATCTTTTGGCAGTTAAAAGCCGATGGCCGGCATGTAGAAGAGCTCCGGGGCAAACTTGCAGTTTGGTGACAAGAAGCTGCTTGTTCCCGGGAGCGTCCACTTCGGGACGAAGCCCTCCAAGATGGACAGTGCCAGGAATAGAGCCCTAAGTTCACCGCGGCTGCAACGCGACAAATAGGGTAGGCTAGCTCTGGTCCTCCTACCGGGTTTTTCGGTTTATGAGGGTTGTAGTAAGACCTATATTATATGGGGTATGTGTCGAAATTAGGGGTCCCCCCCCCAAAATGACCAACCTTGAAACGAGTACCCTCAACAAACGCAAGCAACCTTTATATCTTGATGGAACCAAACGTCTCGGGTTTTGGGCTTTGGGCGCGACTCATCGGCTTCGCAGGAGATTGCCCCAAGCCCTGCAAAGACACCACGTCTTTCCCGCTGCCCCCTGCGGCAGCTCGGCATATTGACATGTGTGTGTGTGTGTGCTTTTGGGTCCTCAACGTTGTGGTTTTAAGGGAGACCCCAAGGAAGCCAATCATTTGAGGGAACCGATTCCTATTTTGACATCTTCGTGGAGCACGAACACGGGATCCCACGGCGACTTTTGGGAGTGTGATCGGTGCCCGTCACGCACCGATGTGGATGAAGCACTGGCACGGGGGCTGAAACGCTAAGCACGGATACCTTTTTTTTACCCGCGAACATAGGGCGCAATCTGAAATTGCCACTTGGAGCGGCAGTTACTCACCAAATATCCAGTGGGACTCACTTTTAGCACAGCCGTCCGGTGGAGAGGGAAAGACGGCCATATTGCATTGGCCAAGGGGCTAGACTTGGCAGTGGGGGAAACCAAAAAGCGCAAGGAAACCCGAAATGCACCTTGTTCGGGGTATCCAGATCTGGGATGCCGCTCCTGTTCTCGGCAGGGCAAAGGCTCGCCCACGCTCTTCTGCTTCTCCGTGGCGCGGCAGGGGCCTGTGCCTTGCCTAAGCGAGCCTTCAAAGGGTCAACTTCCGGGTGCAGTCCCCAAGTTATCCAAAAAAGAAGCTGAAAGGGAAGCCACCTGCCAAGGGTAAACGGTCACTTGAAGGGACCCAGCGCTAGGCAGCTGCGGGAGTGGAAGTGACTGTGTGTGTGTGTGTGTTTGTTGTGTTTCGGTCCCCTCGCATCCATGAAAACCTGACAAGAAGCGATCAGGCTTGGACCATTCTCCTCTAGCAGAAGGGACTTAGCCTCTGGTCAGTTCCATGTTGTGGACGGCAGTTCGAGCTGGGCTTGCAGGGACGAATCCGGAAGCAGCAAGGTGGGGGGGGGGTGGTGTTCTTGGTTTTATCCCAGTTGACGCACCCGAAAGAGATCCTTAAGACCTTTTCTGGGAATGCTTGGGGTGCCTTTGCTTTTCCTCCCAATTGCCTCCCACTCAGGAGATGGACACGATGTTCATGCAGCGTCAGATTGGATCTGGCATTTTTGGGTGCGATGGCTATGCAGCCACTCGACAGTTAGATTGTCAACCACCCACGTTCTTGCACTGGCATGGTGTTGTTTGCGCTGCACGTCTTCTATCAAAATTGAAATGGGGTCGTGCGTGGGGTGAGTGTGTGGTGACCTAGAATTTGCATTGTCTAGGTGTACAGTGATGTTTCGGTCGATATCGACGGCTACAAGACGCCACTTGGCAGATTGCCCTGGTCGCTGATTACAACCGTTTCGATACGACATGATGTTGTCAGATGAAAACGGTGAGCGCTGTGTTGGCTGAGCTTGCAGTATTTGACCAAGGATACTCATTCCATCGACAGCATCCGGTGTCAGTACTGACAAGACGGCTGCAAATTCCCAAGTGTTCATGAACACTTGGATGTCGCTTCTGACGCGCGGGTTTGCATTCAGAGGGAAGGCGTGGGGTGGGTGTTGCCGTGGTGACGGAGCTAGTGCAAGAGGCCAATGTCTCGCGATCAAATCGGAGCAAACCGTAGCCGGAAAGCGCCGGTGAGCTCAATAATAGAGTCCTTTGACGACCCCTCTTCGCCTTGGAGGCCTATGGCAAAGATATTTCGACCAGTGAGTTAGCCTATTTCAAAGATATGTTGGGATTTCTGGTGCGGTTTCCAGGTTCGTGCTTCGCGCGTCCAGCCTGTGTTTTTTTTGGCAGGTGATGATGTGTTGCCGGCCAGTGTGTGGCGGTGTTGGCTGTACGAGTTGCGTGTTGGGTTTTGTGTAGTGTGATAATGCCTGCTGTGACTCGCGAGTAAGTAGCGATCAAGAGGGCTTGCAATTTGGTGGTTCTTTTGGGAAGACGGGCAACTTTTGAGGTGAGTGAAACAGCTGTCGGGTTTCTTCTGGCTCCCCCCTGGGCTGTTTTTCAATACCAAGGACGGGGACCAAATGGTACGACCACGACTTCATTGCCAAGGCCTGGGTGACTGACCGGCAGCCTGGGCGCCTGAGTGAACGCGGCGTTTTTAGTCCCGGAAGTTGGAGGCACACATCTGATGTTCGAGCGGCGCAGTCTGATTTTTTGGCTGCGGCGCAAATGGATTTCAGCATTCTCGATCTCGCAAGGTGGACCCCGACTGTGTGTTTTTCCCGGCGAGATTGCGAGGGCATGCCGCGCCTTACACAGGCCAGAACGTCTTTTTCCTGCCTCTTGGTCGAGTATGGACGCTGCAGGGTGTTTTTGTTTTCTTGTGCTCTTCTGAAGTTGGTCCCCTTCTTGGGTTTACATTCAGAAGAAACCAAGAGAAAATATTTATGTTTGGGGCCCACCATATGGAGAGCGACCCAGTTCCATGACATGTTCGGCAGGGTTTCTGGTAGGACAAGTGCGCCACACTCCAGCCCAGGAACTGTGGAAAGTACATTCCCGAGCCTTGGCACAACGTATTTTGATGCTGTTTGTAGCTGATGGCATGGGGAAGGTCGAAAAGCTTTTGTTTACCTGATGTTCAGTACTTGTCGAGGTTGAGCTGAGCAAACAGTTGATTCATCGTTGCCTGTTTGCCTTCTCTTGGTCAAGTTTTGTCGACGGTCCGATTCCCTCCGCAAAGCTCAACCTGCAACCGAGGTCACAATGTACGGAGCGCTCGAGGTTTTCTCCAAGTCTGCCCTTGGCGCCTATTTGTCAGCGCACCAAAGGCGGGATGTTCGATTAGCAGATGCTGCATGGTCAAACGACCTCTTGATGTGCGGTGGGGATTTAGGCGTCCTTTCAACGCAATCATGACCATGGCCCAGCAGAGTTTTGACTATGGCACAGCGTTTTCCTTTTTTGTGAGGCCGGTTTCTTTTGGCAGGTGCGAGCAGCAGTTCCCCTTCAATGCGTGGGGGGAGGACAAGTACATGACCAATTGCTTGGAGAGCCTCGGTTCTCGAACAGCCGCTTGGAGGAAGAAAGTAGGCTTGAAGTGTTCCTTTTGAGGAACGTATCCCCGTTTGAGGCGAGAGAGGGAAACCAAAAGGTCACTCGCAGTTTTTTTTGTTGGTTTGCGGGGTCTTCTTTCGAGAGTGGTCCATCTCCGGGCAAGCGGATTTGAGTGTGCAAGAAAACAATGCCTTGCAAGGATAGTTGTCGGACTGGAACTTATCAAAGGACACCGAAGGTGTCCCTTTTCAGGTCTCTTTTGAAGAGACCCAAGTTGCCAACGGTTCAACGGGGGTGACTCAATTTCCCTTCTTCGGACCTCCAAAAGTGGCAGTTTCAATGAAACCCACCAGTAAATTGCGACTTAAGGGGAAATCCAGTGTTTGTTCGGCGCTACCTGGTACAGACGCCTGAGAGGCCTGAACGAATGGCGTGCTGAAATGTTCTCATGAATCTCACAGATCGATTCAGTTAAGAAGCGCTTTTGCTTCTTGAGATCAGATCATTCCTAAATCAGTTTGACGGATATTATGGGTATGGGTCAAAAGTAAACAACCAGGGGACCACAGGTTTCAGTCCGTGTTCCCATTTACCAGGGTTCCATTTTGGGTAATTGGGACCCAACTGCAAAGCCGGGCCAAGTGTCTAAAATGGGGCCCTGGGTAAACCCCTGCCTTGATGGGTGTTCAACCCCTGCCCTTGGTAAACTGGGACCTGGGATTCAAGGAGCATCCGCCATGTTCTGAAGAGATCCCCTGGGACAGGAAAAATCATCCGACGCCTCCGATCGCAGGTCACCGCCTTGCAGAACTTTCTGCACGATGAGAGGTGCTGGGGCGTGGACTGCGGCAACAAGCCGCCGGTCCGAATGTCGGAAGGGGGGGCTCGGGCCGGAACACCTGCAATGATCCGGGCTTCCTCCAAAATCTAGTGGGAGCAGTAAAACGTCAACAGGCCCCCCCGTTTTGTTCTTCAACTGATATATTGATGGAGCAGAATCAGCAAGTCCCAACCATGGCAGATTTGTTTCTAGCGCATGCGGCTTGAGTCTCGAGTGTCTCGAGTTCAGGGCGGCGGTGGCCTTCCACTCCTTCAAGAAGGTCAACACCTGGTACAACTGCTGGCTTCTTTCGAACCACGATGGATACTGAGCAGAGCGTTAGCGCCGATCGCGCTTGTTTCTGGAGGAAGCGCGCCCATGTCCCTTGGAAGCGTCATTTTTTGTTGCTTTTCTCGTAGCCTCCGGGAAAAGCCGATCGACATCTCACCTTGCACCAGTGTGTGGCATCCTGCGGCTGCCCCATTTTTTTTCCCCCGGACGCATTCTTCGTGCTTTGGTGGGCCTTGTTTCCTCCAAGGGATCTTGCTTGCGCCCCGTAGAAGTAATTGTCGTGATAGACTTTGACCGCTGGGATGCCTTGCAAATGTCACCTGAGTGTCATGTGACATCGAAAAGCCGGGTTCTGGTCTGTGTTTTTTCGAGTCGAGCGAGCAGAAGCCGCCAACGACTGCATCAGCCCACGTGCTCCAACTCTGGCAGACTGAGGACAAGTGTGATCACAGAAATGTGGGCTTGTCGTTTTTCTTTTCTTCTTCTTCGAGTCACAAGGCTACGCTCCTTTGCGCGCCGAGGGGCATGGATCGCAAGCCGGAGACCGGAAGCCCAGATCAGCCTCCGGGCTTGGGCCAATCCCGAGCGAGCGCCGAGCGCTGCCTGTGCGAGGCCACTTCAGCAGCCGAGCTGGCTGAAAGTCAAAGTCGATGCTTCCCGCAGATGGTTCACTTGAATTTGACTGAGAGGACTCAGAGAACGGTGTCCGAAGCATGCGAGAGTCAAGTCGCAGTGACAAGAGGGGCTTCAGGGGCCCAGATCTCGCGACTTGCTGATGGACACCGGAAGGGAGGCGCACCTCTCGCGGAGTCAGGCTTCTCCAGCCACAGCCAGGCTGGAAAAGTCTTTCCGCTGAAATTCTCAGCTTAGTAGGTCTGTCATTTCCTGGAATTGCTCCCAAAGCCCTGTTGATGCGACAAAGGAGTAGTTGGGCGTGCACCAGAGCAAGCATCATAGAAGTGGAAAGAAGGCCTTCGTAAGACAGCGGACTTCCAGACCCTTCTGTCAGCTGCTGTGATTTTTGCAGAGAGGGTAGCAAGGGTCCCAACATTTCCCTTTCATACCCTTTTGGGCCTTTTCAAGGTGAAGTTTTTCGTGGTGGGTGATGTTTATATTATACTTGTTGGGAATCGGTGGGGAATCGACCCGGGTAAAGCGATTTGGACCATTCCAGGCACGGGCCAAGTTTCACAAGGGCTTGCCTGTCAGGAACCCAGCCCGATCGCCGTGGGCTCCCTGTGACAGCGCATACTGATGGAGAAAAGCGGGCGGGGTGAGGCATGCGGTAGCGGTCCTTTGGGGCTTGGAGGCCCATTGGAGGCTTGGAGGCAAGCCAGGGAGTACCATCACAAACCCATTCTCAGTCCGCGCCTGCAATTTTTGTCCTTTTGCTCTGTGAAGCAACTCAAGGGGAATTCCTCGTGAAGCTGTTCGATCCACCGTCAGAGACGTGGCAGGTACAAGTGAAAACAAGGTGCGCTGAGAGCTGATACACCCACCTAAGGTGCATCCTAAAGGCAACATGCAAGCAGCAATCAGCATACACCACGCACACGCACACGCACACATGCGCACGCGCACACACACACACACACACAGACACACACACACACACACGCACACACACACACACACACATTGGCAGCTTGTTATGCACCCACGGCATACTCCCAAACTGCACCGCTTAGCACTGTGCTACATGATGATTTGACAGACGCTGCTTAGTGGCGATGGAGCATGGCGCTACTTTGCAGCAAGATGGTCCTATGGTCAGTGCATGGTGTTCAAAGAGGAACATTTAGGGTCGTGATTGTTTGAGGGTACCCTTTCAATAGCCAAAGGAGCCTATTTTGTGACGTACCCGTTTGGAGTGCAAACAACCAAACACATGCCCCCTTGGGCAAGTGAGAATCGCCTTTCAATGACACTCGCTGGCGGTGGACAACGTGTCTTTCAGCGTGAGCTCTCTTGAGAAAGTCTCACGTCATTCTTTGCGGACATGAGTTCCGCTCTTCGCGCCTAATTCGCCCAAGGACGGCTGAGGGGAGCTTTTCCATCGAGGCTTGGGAGTTGTGAAGTTGAACAATGCCACCGGTGTTTCTCGAAAAGTTGGGACCCCTTCGCATTCCAAACAGAGGTCCCCGATTTTGAACCCCCCCCTCGTTTTATTTTCTTTCAACCATGTGGTTTTTCTTTCTCAATGCGGTTTCCGGTTCAGGTACCTCTTATTCGTTGTTTGGATGGGTGGTTTCGTGATTTGAACTGGTTCTTGCAGAGTACATTCGAAACTGGCCTGACCCCCCAAACCACCGGGCTCCAAACCACCAATCAGAGGGAAGCTGAGGCTGCGGAGGCGGAGCTCAGGTCCCTGCAGACGGAGGAGCAGGCAGGAAAGACGCGCGAAGGTTGCCATGGGACTTGACGTGGGGTTCCTTTGGTTTGGTTGGCCAGCTGGCTGGGTTGGGTGGCTGAGTGGGTGGCTGGGTGGGTGGCTGGGTGGCTGGGTGGCTGGGTGGCTCGGCCAACAAGGTCAAGGCAAAGCATGGCACCACGTGATCAACAAAGGCCACTCTTGCCCCCATGGGGCAAAATATGTTTAAACCGCCAACCGCCAACCGTGCCTTTGAGGGAAACCACAAGGTTGGTCCAACGATAGTCGGCCCAACCCTGTGGGTCACACGGATTTCACCAAGTGGAGTCTTGGGGGGCAGGCCTTCGTGGGATTGAAGGATAGTCCCACAGCTTAGACCAAGTGGGGTTTGCGGGGGTGTCGTTTCTTTGTACCAACGGCCAAGCTCTTGGCTCTCTTGGTACCTCTTGGTGCCCTGGTTTCGGGTGAAACCCAACTTGCAAAACCCACCTTTTTGCGAGAGACTGGGCCTGGACCTCGGGCTTTTCCAAAAAACACCCAAATCAGCGAGCCTCGGCTTCCCTGACTGTCCCCTGCGACCCCTTGCAACCCGCCCCTTGAGCCATCGCCATCCGATGTGGAAGGACCTGGACTTGGAGCTGGAGAAGCTCTACAGCCGCGCGGCGCACCTCTGCCCGGCGTCCCGAGGTTTTTGACGAACAAGCGGAACAAAAACTGGCGGTTTTTTGCGCCCCGGGACGCTTTCCTCATGTTTTTTTGGGGTGCGCCCTGGGAACTTTTTTTTCTTCCCCTTTTTTCTTTTTTTGAATAAAGGACATTTCGGTGGTGGCTTGGAACCAAGGGACATGAAGGGTCATTCCTCTTTTTGGGGCTAAAGTCAAGTTCGGTGGTACCTTGAAACCAAGTGGAATCCAGGGGTGTTGTCCCTTTAGTTGGCCCAACCCAAGGCCCACCGAGGATTTTCCCATATGCAATGCGATGCTGAAAGGGTGATACGGGGAACCCAGTTGAGTGAGCACATGGGTGTCCCGTTTACAGGAAGCGGGAATCCTTCACTCTGTGGCAAGAACATCCTCTATTGCAGTGTTGGTCAATCTTCATTCAAACGAACAGATTCTCGTCCCCTTAAAAGGAAGCCACAAATGAAATATGTTTGAACAGATGTTTAAATGCGCTGAAACAAGGAGTTGCCCCGCTCGAAAGCCTGCAGCCCTTACTGGTGGGGTTTCTCCCGTTTGAAGGATTGTGACTTCAATCTTGTTGCGTCCAGATGTGTGGTTTCAAGGTGAAGCACACATGCACCTCGCCACTCTGACCAGTTGGAAGACCGTTTTCCTTTTGAAGGGGCGGGTCGTTTGGTGGGTTCCGCGGCAACGTGTGTGGGAAGCAATTGGAATTGCCGCAAAGTCTCAGATGACAGCCTGCACATGTGTGGGGTGTGTCAAATTCGGATTTGGATCCCCAAAATGGTGTTTCTCCTTTTGCTTTCCCTTAAACCCAACCAGAATAGGCAAGCCTCCAAGAAAAATACATATCTATCTGCTCGCAGGTCAGAGCGAGAGCCGCAGCTTGGCCTTTTTGGGGGAGCAGCATAAGCAGGCGGGCGGTTCCTTTGAGGCCACCAAAATTCATAAACCAGATGGGTGCCTAGGAGATGACCCACGCCTGGCTTAAATCCATTTGGGATCACTAAATAGCAGAACTTTGGGAATAAGTGCGACGTTTGCTTCCACCAAGCATGTCTTGGTGCGCAGCAACCATCCTGTAGAGGTTAGTTGTCTTTCAACAAAAGTATGTACACTTCCATTTTGTTGGTGGGTGGGTACAAATTCCCCATCAGCAACAACGGCGGCAACAACAACCGCAACACACGACCACCACCAGCACCGCAACCACAGTCACGACCACGACCACGACCACGACCACAACACCGTCAACGACAACGACAATGACAAATGATTCTGACTTTTTCTTTTTGCGCGTGACAACGCCAGGGACACCAAAAAGATTTCGACCATTCTCACGTTTTTCTCTCCTTTAAAGACAAACCTAGCCCCTTTCGGCGTTAGATGGGTGGTTTCCCGCTTTTCTTTTACTTAAAACAAGGGTACAGGTACCTAGAAAATTGGGGGCTCAACGACAGGCCAACCGCCCTCGGCGTAGGTCCCTGTGGCCATCCGCAAGCTGCAGGAGACGCTGCAGCAGACGATCGGGTCTCAAGAAGCCTGAGGTTTCATTTGTTTCCTACAGCTCGCCAGAGATGGGTTTGAAGGGGACCCTAAAGGAAAGCATGGGGATTGCTGGGTGTCCAAACGGAGTCCATTTTTTCTGGAGCCAAATTGCTTTTTGACACCTACCCACAGAAAACGGTCGACTTGCGTCACGTGGGGGCGTGTCTCTTGATCATTTGGGGTTGGACCCCAGTTGCCACCTTTCTCAACAAGGGCAGACTCTTGTATTCTGTTGGACGAACCTTTGAAATTGTTGGTTTCCTTTTGGTTTGCCTCTGCAAGCCAACCAAAAGTGGGCTCCCCGGAAAAATGGCGTGTCCTTTAAGAGGGTGCCCCGCTTTGAAAACCCCAAAAGGTAGCTGAAAAGGTAAGGGGAACTCTGGAGTTTCATCAATAGGGGGCGATGCCCAACTTCAGCGAGCATCTTTCAATCTTTTGCGGACACATTCCCCATTGAGCCGCCCTGATTGTTAATTTGGGTCATAGTGAATTTGACATGGGAGCACTCACTGTGTGTCGCACAAAAGGACCGGGGGGCTCGCTAAGTTTCAAGCCACAACAACTAGGGTACTTGCTGATGGTTCAAGATTTGCAAATGAACCAACCACGTCCGACCAGAAAGCTCTGGAAGATGCGGTAAATTGCAGGGGTTCCCATGTTTCAGGTTTTTTTCCCTCCTCCATTTTCTTTCTTTCTTTTTTTCACTTGCTCAACTTCGGTGACGAGGTCCGGCGTGGCTGATGAGCTCAGCTTCCGCGTCCGCAAGCTAGATGTGGTCTGCGGCCGCGTCTCAGATGCCCGGCTCTCAGGTTGATCAGCGAGGGGTCTCGGTCGTTTGAACGCAACCTCAAAACACCAAAGGGAAAGACCGACATGGGCTTGTCTTTTGGTTCCCAGCACAAGGGCCAACTCGGGGGGTGGTTTTTCCATGATTTTTCATTTCTATTAAGCGCAACAGACACGCCTCATGTGGGTGTACCCGCGGCCACAGTACTCTATTGGTGCATTTGGGTTGGAACCAGAATCAATCGAGCTCTTCTGTACCCAGGTCACATGGGTATGGGTCAAAATTATACCACCAGGGGATTTCAGGTTGTAGTCCTTGTTTCCTTTTCGAGGGTTCTGTTTTGGGTACCTATTTTTGACTCACACCCTCCAGCAAATTTTGAGCGTGGCTCAAGCTGTCAGCATGGATCTCCGGGTTTGCTTTGGGGCGGAATCCCTGGTCCCAAGTTCGCCTGCGCTCGCTCGCTCAGGCCACGAAGATTGTGGATGACCTGCTGGAGCTGCGGGAATGCTCAGATCAGGCGGGTGTCACCAGCGGCGCGGTGCGCCGCTGACCGCGCATCGGAAGAACTAAGCGGGTTTGCGTTTCTCATTTGGGAATGCCGAGGGTTTCTTCCACCAGCACAAAAGTGGGGATGTGGCACCATAGGGACTCTGAATGGGGGTTTCGTTTTGGGTTTCCTTTAAGCCTTTAAGCCAAGGGGCAAAAGGGTACCACCAACAGCACGCACAACCAGGTGAATGATTCGTTGCAGTGGCTGATGGGCTTGTGTTGGCAAGCGCAGGTAATGAAGGCCATCACGTCTGAAGACTTTGAGCAGGCTGCGAGGTATGCGGCGTGCTTAAGGCAAAGTGGGCGCGGGCAGAACCGGCGTTTGACCACCCAAAGAATTGCTGCCAGTCGGTTATTGCTTTTGGGAGAGCATGGGGGCACTCAAGTGTCACATGTCCTCTACGGGAAACCTGTGATTGTGTTTGGGCCTTGTTTGATGGTTGTGGCAAGGCTATGGCCGAGGCACGAAGGCGACTGAACAGCCACCAAACAGGCAACTTTTCTTGGACTCTTTGACCTGGAGACCTTTAGCATACCACACAATCGGAGGAGCCAAGCCCACGTCCATGCAACGCCTATATTTTTTGTCGTTTTTTTGGGGTGAACTGTGGGTAGCCTTGGGCCTCTGGTTTTGTTACAGCTTACACGGGTGTCTTTTGAAAGGTACCCTTTTCGGGCTAATTTAAATGGAAGCCAAAAGCAACAAATATATTGGGCTCTCTATTTCCACGTCGAAACACCATTTCCAGCGTCTCTGACGTCCCTCCCAAATGGTGAGCTTCGACTGCCCAAAATAGGCTTCGGGTTCCTTTGGGTTTCGGTTCAAAAACTCTTTAGTGACTTTAGTGGAACCCTCAAAAACAGCATACCCAACCATAGACTAGACACTTTGACGGCTGGCTTCATGGACAGGATCTACTGCTTTTTGTTTGGGCTGTTTAAAGATCCCTGCGTTGTTTGAATGAGCATTCATTGGTTGCAGACCGCTGGCTTTGGGCAGGGCACCCTCAATACTACAGATGAGCTCGATGGTCTGATTGCCCGACTGAGGTTTCGCGCTTCCGAGCTGCCCAAGATAGCCTGCCGCCGCGGTCTCGGGAAGAGTACCCTCAAAGACGAGAATACACGTCCCCAACTTAGCTACTTTTTTGAGTAGCTGTCCGAGGCCTGGCACGGACGATGCAACCGTCCGCACCTTGCATGGGGCTCAGCGCGTTGCGAGGAAAACGCGTGGCAGCGTGTCAGTGTTGTCAGTGTTCTAGGGTTCCCATGTTCCAGTGTTCCAGTGTTCCAGTTCCAATGTTCCAGTGTTCTAATGACTCACTGCCCAGTGTTCCAGTGTTCCTGTGTTCCAATGTTGGTTCCGAGACGGTCGCAACTTTCTCGATCGGAGGACGGAAGCAGAGAGGCAGCTCAGTGGCATCGTGCGCAGGCTGGGGCCAGGATCTGAACGAGTGGGACATGACAACCAGCGGATATGCTTTGTTACGAGCTGCCAACAGTTTGCAACGTGGGCTGATTCCGCAAAATCGGGGTGGGTGGGGCGGGTTCTCCAAGTAGGAATTGATTTCCTTAAAATTAAATGGTTTGCTTCTGTTGGGTTCCCTTTGAATACCAATCAAAAGGGGGTCCGAAATTCATTTAAAGAAACATTCACATAGGCTACTGGGATGGAGAAGGCTCGTACCAAACTACGTTACCGGGGCACCCCATTGGATGCGTTTCCTGTTCATTTCAGAGGTTCAAGATCGTCCAACGGAGGTTCAACACCATCGAAAAGCACGCCAACCTTGCCTAGGCCAATTTTCCACGAGGCTTCCAATACAAGTGAAGGATTCTGACTCACCATTCCAAAAAGAGATTCCCAACCTTACAGATGCACTTGAGCCGCAATCAACGCCGGGTAGATGAAGATCAGTAGAGAAGTCCCAGCCATGTTCTGGGTGCAGCCGCCGTTTTGATTCCACGCATGTTTCCGGGGTAGGCAATTTTCACACCGCTCGGTTCTGCCTCTCTCCAGGCGCTTCGAGGCCGCCATGTCCGCCAAAGACAGCAGCGGGGTCTCGCGCTTCGCCAAGCTCTTCCATCCACTCGGCGCCGGCCTCGGGCTCCTGGAAGAAAAGCGCTGGGCGAGGGGCATTTCTGGATGGGTTGGGGGGGGGAAAGGGGCCAACGGGACAGGAGGATTTTATGTGGGGCCATTTGTTGACGGGTTGGAACCGTTGGAACCGGGGGGAACGGGAGGGCAGGTGTTGGTTGGTTTGCAGGGACACATGCTTTTTTGCAACTTGATTGACTTAAAAAAAAAGAAAACAAAAAAAAAACAACACGAGCCGCGCAGTGTCACCGCTTCCTTGTCGCTCGATGGAGTGGCGGGTGCCTTGTACCAGGCCTTGCCTCCGAAGGAGTGCAGAAGTACGTGGAGCGCGGTGCCCGAGCCGTGCCACCTTTTTTCAAGTGTGTTTAGGCAGCCCCTAAAAATGGCGCACCCATTCAGTTGCTTGCGCCAAGGCCTGAAACTCCGGGGTTTAAGGTAGACAAGGGGCATCAGCTGACCTAGATCAAGGTTAGGTAGGGACCGTCCGCTTGCCAGAAATTGGTTCGGGCTTTTGCCCTTTTGATTCTCCACTCGGGTTTCGAATAGGTCCCTTTCGTACTAGGCTGTGTTTGTACTCAGGTGCTATTGAGCAGCCAAATGCCAGAATGTGAGTACTCACTCAACCAAGTCTTTTGAACAAGGCAGAAAGAACGTCAACGTGGAGTGTCTCATTGCATGAAGCTGCCACCTTGACGCTTTGCCTCTCCGCCAAGATGCCGTGAGTTTTTGGCGGAGAACACCCTCCAAAATGCTTGATGCACACACACACACACACATCCATGTAAAAAAAGGCCCGCCCAAGGGTCCTCCATTGAGATCCACACCCAAATTGGGTTTTACCTGAGTTTAGCCGTTTTGGGAGTGATGCGAAAGGACACCACCGGATTTTTCGTGGTTCCGCCTCTGAGAGTCGCTCAGCTGCACATCGCGGGGGCAATCCGCTGTAAGGTTCATCAGGCGGTCTTTGGCTGAGAAGGCCAGTGCAGACTTTAAGCGCCAGCGGGACACCCCAGAGAGAGAGAGAGAGAGGGAGGGAGGGAGGGAGGGAGAGGGAGAGGAGAGAGATGGGGGTTGTGCTAACGTGGCTCTTTCTCAAAAAAGGATTTCTCCGAAGCTTATCGGTTTCTGTTCGGTTTCCAAAGAGAATAATCAAAAGAGGGTCCCCCATTTGAGAAGTTTTAAACCGGGGGGGGGGCGCCTTTGAACGGAGTGGGAATCCGAAGCCTCCGACTTATACCGGGGGCTCCCTGTTTTTGGAACTATGTCAATCAAAGTCACATGCACCACTTGTTGGATGGATTGGCCGCGGTGAATTCCCTTGGCCAAGGTTGGGCTCGGTGGGTGGCAAGCGGACGGTATGCCTGACGTGCTTGGATTGTCGCGTACGCAACCCAACTTCAGTTCGAAGAAACGCAACCGACATGCCCAGTTGCTAAGTAGCCGTGAGGGAAGTCAAGGTAGGCAGGTGGTCAGGCCGCCAGGGGGTGGAAAGCAATTGGGCAAGGCAAGGTAGGTTAAGGTAGGACAGGCGAAGGCTGGAAAGGTGACGAGCGCCCTGACATTGGCATGGCCAGGATCAAGGCCCGACGCCCTTCGCGGAGGCGTTGACCTCGATCTTCGTGACCATCGCGGACATTGTGCAGGAAGCTCCGGCTTTAAAGCACGAAGCACATTGGCTTTGGAGGTCAAGTCGGCTTTTGAGGCTTCTTTCATGCTTTTCGAAGCAAAACGCTATCCCAGAGACCCATCGGGAGCAGCGCTGGAGAAGTTGATCACCTCGCCACGGGTGTCTACAAACAGCGACGTTTGTTGCACCATCGCCGGGGGCCAGGGGGGTTGGTTGACCCCAGTATTGCTGAGAAAAGGGGAAACAAGGCGGTTATTAATTTTTAAGCATGTTGAAGTAAAGGATTGAATGGCCCAACCTTGCTTCTTTTTTCAAGGACCCCAGCCTCCGCGGGGATTCTCAGGGTATGTGTCACAGATTCCGAAATGGTGATCTTCCTTTTCTGCGGGTCTTCACCAACCCGCGGTTGAAACGCGGGTCCTTCAAACAAGAAAAACCTCATCCCCTGGCCCGCCCCTGCGCCTGTCAGGAGCACCAGCAGGCAGTGGAACAGGAGTTCGGGCCCGAGAACTTTGTGGTGGTGGTGCGTGGGCTGTTGGACGAGGCCTTGGGTATGAACGGACTTGCTCTGTGTCAAAAAGGATTTTTACCTTTTGACCCCGCAGCAAACATGGCGGTTTTCGTTGATTTCCACTTAGGCCAAGTTGAAAAGGGCTCACTCACTCACTCACCCACCCTCACCCTCACCCTCACCCTCACCCTCACCCTCACCCTCACCCTCACCCTCACCCTCACCCTCACCCTCACCCTCACCCTCACCCTCACCCTCACCCTCACCCTCACCCTCACCCTCACCCTCACCCTCACCCTCTCACCCTCACCCTCACCCTCACCCTCACCCTCACCCTCACCCTCACCCTCACCCTCACCCTCACCCTCACCCTCACCCTCACCCTCACCCTCACCCTCACCCTCACCCTCACCCTCACCCTCACCCTCACCCTCACCCTCACCCTCACTCACCCTCACTCTCACTCTCACTCTCACTCTCACTCTCACTCTCACTCTCACTCTCACTCTCACTCTCACTCTCACTCTCACTCTCACTCTCACTCTCACTCTCACTCTCACTCACTCACTCACTCTCTCTGTCTATTTGCCTCTGTTTGTCCTCTGTGTCTGTGTGTGTCTCTCTGTCTCTATCTCCGTCTGTTTGTGTTTCTTTTTTCCTTTCTCTCTGTCTCTTTCTTTGTTTCTTTCTTTCTTTCTGTCTGTCTGTCTCTTTGTCTGTCTTTCTGTCTGTCTGTCTGTCTGTCTGTCTGTCTGTCTGTCTGTCTCCCAAAGAGTGAGCCCGGGACTAAATCACCAGGAAAGGCCCTTTGAGAGGGGTCTCGCCGCAACCTCTTGCGTACCCTCCCCCGTAGCAGTGAGTCTTTTGTACGAATCTTGGCCGCACGCTTTACTGACTCAAAAGGTCGGATTCATTGATGCAGCCTCAACAAGAAGGACAGACCTGAGCAACCGAAGCTGCCTTCAAGGAGGAAACATCCTGTTGCTTGGGCTTAATAGGAATGGTAAGAAAGCCTTTATAAGGATTCCGAGGACGCCAAGGCATGTTTTGTGTAGGCGATCCTGCAAGTGATGTGGGGCAAAACGAATCAGCAAGTTGGGTCTCAGCGCCAGGCAGACGTGCAAGGCATCCGTGTCATAGACAAGTTTGCCAAAGACTACGCCAAGGCCATTCCTCAAACGGGAGGTTTGGCTCAGTGGGATATCTCCAAGATTTCCTTTGTTCCGAAGCGCGATCCGTAGCGCGCTTGTGGTGCAAATGTCAGGTGTCAGGTTCCTCACTGACACGACGGCTTTGTTGTCACTTTTGTTCCTGGGAGCTTCCCTGTGAAGAATTTGCCGTTGGATGCTTGCAATCTTTATCCGCAGCAAGCAGGGTTCCATTGTCCGATTTCCCAAGGCAGACCAAAAGCCAGGTCTGCATTGGGGCATCAACAACTGGAATCCTGCGGGTCATGTTTAAGGGGCAAATCCGAGAGACCCTTTGCCGGCGAGGGACGGACTGGTTGCTCCATCCCAACTCTGGGCAGCGGGCTGCGCGCGGCTGTCGGCAGGTGTTCGCGCAGCAAAGCAACTGCGACATGCGAGAAGTTGGGGCTGTCCTGGAGGCGCGACAACCACGGGATATAATTCAGATTTAGGTTTGTCTCAAAATCAGGGAACCCGCAAAGTGATTCAACCACAGGGGCTGAGAAGCCGGGGGTGGCGTTTTGTTGGGGGTTCTCTTCTCCCAAGGAGACGGCGATGATCACTCAACGAGTTCAGCGACATGCTCAGCCGGCCCAATGCCTTCGGGCTTTCACGATGCCAGTTTCAAAGCAGAGCCTCGCTTTTCGGTTGCCTTCGCTCAGGCAGTTTAACGCCTACATTCACGGCGTGGCGTGCGCTCCTCGAATCGAAAGGGAGCCATTGAGCATTGGCAGATTTGTGCATCTTCGCTTGTGCAAAAAGGTTCTTCATCATATTTGTGGGCAAATGCCAACTGCAAGGTAGTGTAATGTCACCCCCAGAGTATTCAACCGCATGGATGAATGGGTTGTATGCGTGTGTGTGTGTGTGTGTGTGTGTGTGTTTCCCTCGAAAGCGAAGGTTCTCCTCTTAAATGGGCCTCCAATTAATCAGGCTTGCTCTTGGCCCATTGTCAGGCGGAGCGTTGTAGAGATGATCGAGGACACCACGGAGTTTGTCAAGGATTTGCAAGCCTGGCCCGCTTGAAGCCAGGCTTGCATACAAACGGGCAAAGGTTCTGGCAGTTGATTGCTAGTTTGGAGAGGATACGCGGGACTCGGGCCCACCCAAAGTTTTTCAGAGGACCATTCTTTCCATGTCCTCTTGGGGACCCAGTTCATTTTGTTTGGGGCTCAGGCAGTTTAGAGTCTAACCACGAGTCAAGTCCGACCTTTTGACCTGCTTCGGTATCATCAAACTTGCAATTCACGCCGGTGAAGCTGCTCGAGCCCGTTTTCTGCTCGTCTTCGAAATGACCGCGCTTGCCATGGTACAGGCGGTTGGTTTGCAATTTTGTTTCGTACAGGCCCGCGGTCAAACCAGGGGTGGTGCCAGCAAGCTCAACTGCATCAAACCGGCAGCTCCTGCACAGCGGAAGCTTGCAGCATGCGACTCTCTTGCAGCATGTGACGCTCTTCTAACGGACCCCTTCTAACTGGTCTAATGTTGACCCTTTCTTCTCCTTCTTTAATGTTGACCCAGGATTAATTAATAACCCTCCCATGTTGAAGGAGTCCTTCGCCGGGTAACGAACCTGCGAATCCACAAGGTAAATAACTCCGTTAGTTGGCAACAACAAACCCATAATCTGCGCATACACCCTTTTGCAGGACTTTTGGTGGCTTTTTGGCTCTTGTGGCTTTGGCGAGTTTTCGCGGCTTTTCGTGGCTTTCGTGTGGCTTTTGGCTTTTGGCTTTTGGCATCACCAGCAACACATCATTTCAATCCCGAAAACCAGCCTGAACCAACGCTAAACCAGCCTTAAGCCCGCACTAAACAAGCACTAAACCATCCCTAAGCTACAAAAACCCACCCTAAACCAACGTAAACCCACCCTAAACCCAGAACAACCCAGCCCTAAACCCACCTTCAACCAACCTTGACCAAGCCGTAAGCAAACCCTATGCCAACTCCAAAAGACCCCAAATCATCCCTAAACCACCCTCAACCTACCCTAAACCAACCGAAGACAACCTAAACCCAACCACAGCCCAACCAACTCTGAACCTACCCCAAACCAACTTTAAACAAACCCCAAGCAAACCCCATACCAACCTGAACTCATCATAAACCAGCACTAAAACCACCCCCCCAAACCGAAAGCGCAGCCAACCAACCAAGCATACACCCATATACAAATCCAAGGACAAACCAAACCAACCTTGAACCCACCTAAACCATAGTGATCCTGAGTTTTCCAAATCCTATTTGCAGGGGCGACATGGGAGCCTTCCAGCTGGGGCCAGGCCAGTGGGTCACAGCCCAGATGACGGGCTGCCCGATGACACCAAGCTCCTGCATAGGACGGCTGGTGTTTGGTTACGATGTGTCAGAGTCTGAAGTTCTGAAGGGCAAGGGTTGGTTGCAAAATTGGTAAAGCAAGAACCAGACCTTGAGCACCTTTAAAGGGACACCAAAAGGGATGATTGAAACAACAGGTTAAACATGCTCAAGCAGGGGCCTGGCACCAACTCTGCACGGGTGGTTCAAACATCACCTTTCGGATACCAATTCATCATGTTTCTTTTGGGTGGTGTGATGATGAAAGGGGACATTCAGATCAGGAGCCCTGTTCTGTGGGTCGACATGGACTTGCAATGCGCTTGTCGGAGCTTGTGGGACTGTATGATTACAATGGCTCCCTACGAGCGGATGTGGGGCGGGTGACGTCCTTTCGAGCTCGAGAGGTTCTGTGAAGGTGCCAGAATCCTGGAAGAAGCGTAGGAAGTTTGCACCCTTGTACGACCTCTCTTTTTGCATGGGTGTGTCTTTTCGTCAGAAGGGAGTCCAAGAGAAAGCCGAATCCACCCATTTTCGGGGTTCGCCCATGTTGATATAGACAAACCCATATCAAGCTTCGTTGCGTTTGCGCTGCTAGGGTGCAAGAGCTGGTCTCCTCTTATGTCTTGGTCCGAGCCTTGCGGGTTGGGCGGAGGGGGGGGGTACCGCATAGGACTTATCCAATGGAGCGCTGGCTTGGATCGTTCTGCATGTAGCCCTTGTACCCTCGATGTATTGGCGCCACATGTATGTTATTGTTTGTGCCCAAGTCCAAGCAATGGTGGGCAAGTTACAAACCCTGATCTGTCTTGTTGAAGTGAGGTGATGGTAAGACAATCAGGAAAGTTGCTGAAGCTTGGACGTAGCACAACCTCCCTTGTGTCTTCTTTGCCAGTATGACAACCTGGCTGTGTGGTTCTGCAATCATGCCAGCCCGCTAGAGGCCATCTCCATGACAGCCTTTACAAGACTTGTTGCCGAGGTCGGCTTATGTGGCTGTGAATGGGATCTCTTCAGAAGTCCTAGGTGAGTGGAGTACAACAGCGCTGAAACCGGATTGTCAAGTTGGCGGAGTACTACTTTTGGGCGTTCCTTCAACAGCTAAATGCGACAGCCAGGGGTTGATGAATCCAGGGTTTGCATCATTGCGGCAAGGAATTCTGCCGATGGTACTTTTTTAGTCCAGTGAATGTACTGTACGTGACCCGGCATGGCACTTCTTCCTTGGTTTCCAGGGAGGCATTATGTCTGCTCGCAGACCTTGCCCGGCAACGAGCGCACCCCTGACTTTAAGTGCCGCGGACCGCGGGCATTTGGAGCATCCCTGCAGCGACACATCCCGGCCATCAGGTTGAGCAGAATTTCCTGCTGCAGTCTGTGGAGAAGGCTGTGACAGAGACAGACTGCCTGGCGCTCACACGGCGTGGGGGCAGTCCACTTGTTGTCATTTCGCGCCCGCGTGAAAAAGGGGGCCCCATGATGTTTGACTCAATCTGGGCAACTTAGTTCAGGAGCTCATGATGGGTAAAACCAGTGAGTATAGCCCTGAGGGGAAGGCGTGTTTTTGCTGGGCTCCCCAATCTTCTTTTTAGGAATTCTATCGGGTTAGCCAGATGTTCAGGCCACTCCAGCTTTGATTGTCATGTCGGCCGGCTGAATCTTAGTATGGTCGATTTGGGCATGTGACAAGGGGACTGAGCGATCGGAATGTTGTGTCTTGTGGAACATTGGGACGTCAGCTTTCACCTTGTTCTCGCGGACAAGCAGCGACGCTTCGACTTGAGGTTGGGGCAACCCAAGGGGATCCAAGGAAAAACACCCCGAAGGGAGGAACACCGGATTCACCTTTCGTTTCCCGATGCCTCTGAGGTCTGGATCCAGATGATCCGGATGCGCAGACAACCACTTTGATCGACGAGTCCTTCTTCATTATGCGTGTGTCCCAGCACTGTGAGGAAGCCGTAGGCACGTGGGGACTAGTTTTATACCCAGTTTTTTTTTTTTTTTTTTTTTTTTTTAAAGGGCCAGGACGCCCCTCGCGACCTGAAAGAACAGTTGAGCGCTCAAAGATGCTTCTAGCTATTTCATGGGGTGGTCTGGCCTATATAGACTTCGATGACGAAAGCAGGTTTTGGGCGCTGCTTCCGTTTCACCGCTCTCACGTCACAGCTAAGGCAGGAGTCCATGATGCGATCGGTGACCACATGCGCTGTGCTCGGATGGGGCCAGAGTTCCGTAACCCCAGGTAGACTTGCGTGTGCGCTCCTCTGAGGGTTCCTTTCTTTTTGTTGGCCGGGGGTTGTTTGCAAGGGACGTCAAAGGAAGGCCTTTCTTTTTGGCAGAATTTTTGCCCACACCCACTTCAACTGCCGGGCTTGCGGAAACACTAGTTGGCACCCATACCCCAAGAGTGGTGGTTTTAAAAATCGGTTCGTGACCGAGGCGATATCAACGCGGTGTGCGCAGCGCAGCTGACATGTGTCAGCAGATGCACAGATGTCCTTTTCGAGGGGAAAACTATGGGCCGCTTTTGGCATCCGCTCGAAATGATGGCAGAAATCGGCGGCACTACGGTTCAAAGGGGCCATACCTTTTAAATGCCCCCTCTGGTTGCAGTTTGGGAAGGAACACCGACATATATATATATATATATATACAGATCCCGCCTTGCTTTGAGTGGCCGTCGGTTTGATCAGTCTAAGCACAAGAACCGTCTCATTCTTTTCCTGCAGGTATGGGTAATCTTCTTTTCCTTGAGGGCACCTTGTTTGGGGTTGTGCAGGGAAACCAAAACCGAGCCACAACCTCCAATGATGGCGGTTTCCCCAAAAAAGCCACCCCCAAAAAAGGTACCCATCAAAAAGAAGACGCCCATATGGATCTTGCGCTCGTCGCCGCATGGATTGGGCCAGGTGGTGAACAATGTGAATGCCGCCGTCGTGGGCGAACTCCGGCAGGCATCTTTGGCGAGATGGTGAGCTGCAAATTGACCCGGAACATCAAAAGGGCCCTTGCCCAAAAGGCTATTTTTCCCTAGTGATGTTTGTCTTGGGATCCATTTTTTTTTTGACAAGTACACTCTCGCGATTCCTAGATGGTAAGCAGCTCTCCGTACGCACAATGATCAGGTGAGCCACAATCAAAACCCGGGTAGATGAAGGTTAGTAAGGGGCAGTCAAGCCAGAAATAGTTGCGGCCGCCTTCTTAATTCTTTACACGGTTCTGGGTAGACCATCTTAACACTGTGTTTTGATTGTGACTCAGGTGAGTGGAATTGGATTATTGGGGTGCGAAAATGAGGTGCTCGGGTTGCATGGGTTGCTTGCAAGCTCCCTCTCGTGCGTCATCTCCTTAAGTGTTCTGCCATCCCGAAAGTCGCGAGCCTGGGACCCCGGCGCGGCTTTCAGGCGCTGGCCAGCAACCTTGCGGACAGCCGCCGAGTGTACTCCAACTGGCTGAGTCACCCAAAGAATTTGGTGCCTGAGCCAAGAGCGAGAGCTTGGGCCTGGATGGGAAGGGCACGGAGGGCACTCGCCGGTGCAGGGGACACCCGGAAAAGGTGTGTTTCCTCTCATCCTTTGTGTGAGTCTGCGATGGCACCCGCCAGCGAGATCTTGCAATTTGTTTGATTTTACTCAAGTTCAACGCTTGTTTCGCATGTTTACATACAATATGTATATATATATATAAGTAAATAAATAAATAAATAAATAAATAAATAAATAAAAAAAATAATAAATAAATAAACATATATATATATATATATGTTCTTTGTGTTTTGTTGAGGATACCCTTGTGGGGGTTCATTTAAAGGGACACCAAAAGGACACTAATAATTTGAGGGTCCCCCTATTTTTGGACCCACCTGAGGTGCCGAAGCCCGGAGAGCATCCTTTGGCGTCCTTGTTTCTGGACCAGGACTCTGTGGGCTCCGTTGAAAGTTGCGGACCTGTGGTTGACATGTCCTTGTTTTTGTTTGGTATTCTTTTTTGGGGAGTTCCTTCAAGAGCCCTTTCTTCCCATGAACTGGAGGTCTGGGTTGCGCAAGTCAGCTCGGCCTGGACGCTGCAATGCATCCTGGTATTTGGTATCCTTGAGTGTATTTGGCATCTGGTAAAATACTGATCGGTGATGTCCACCAAAGCGTCCATCTCAGATAATTATGCGCCCACAAACTCCACGTTAATTTGGGGAGGTTCAGATTTCACCTTTTGGTTGCCAATTGTTTGAGTTTCCCTCGGCAGTTTTGGCATCCAACCTTTTTGCCAACTTGGGAGTTTACCATGGCAAGGCCTCCTAAGTAAAAAACAAAAAACAAAACAACAACGACCGTGGCCTGCATTCGGAGTGGCCACATGGTTTTGCCTGAGCTGCTTTTGCCTGGGCGCCTCTCCTTGCAGGAGGGCAAGCTCCGCAGTCCCCTGACGGCGGCGCTGAGCTGGCCTCATTCCATGCGCGGTGCTCAAATGGAAATGGGTCGAAGATTCCAAGAATTCCAAAGCATGACGTGACCTGAAGCCGATCCCAGCATCGACAAGCCAAGATTCTTCCAAGAAATGGATGCTGATTTTGCAAGCTTGCGCTTTACTTGTAATATGGGTGTGGCTCAAAATTAAACAGGAGGGGTTACGCAGGTTTTGGTCCATGTTTCCATTTACCAGGGTTCCATTTTGGGTACCTATTTTTGACCCACAGCCATATGTGTATGCCCGACCTTGTTTGACAGCCTTGGTTGAAGCCTGCTCGCCGTTGGCACCAGCACCTCTGTGCCAGTTTTACCGTTCGCATGAAGGGAGTGTGCGCGTCAAGCACACGTGTATAGCTAAAGCGTTTGAGCGACGCATCCTGGCAAAAGAGAAATATACGTGCACGTTGTTCTGCTTTCGAATCTCCAGTTTGGGTACGGCCTGGCATATCCTTGGTGCCACAGTTTCGTGGGGTCTACCGGGAAGACATGGGGTCAGGAACAACCTTCAGCAATGCCTGGAGAACCTAGTGCGCCTCAAGGACCGACTGATATGGGTGTATGGATCTGCCACTCGCTTAAACCAGCCCAGGATTTTGTCACGTATTTGTATCGCTTTAAGCGAAGATCCGGTAGCATTTTATCGTGAGCAGACCTGATGGGGGTTGGATTCTACGACCCCCTCTTCAAATGTTTGAATGCTTGTTAAAGAACGTAACTTGCACAACCTTGTGGTTTTCGAGCCCCTCTTAAGCCTAATTTGCGCCACCTCCTTGTGGTTTTCGCGGGTTTCAGGGGCCAGGCATTTGGTTGCCGAAAAAATCCAGGAGACGGTGGAGGAGGCCTTCGACGACTACTTCCCCAGCGAAGGTCCCGACAAGGAGCGCGATGTGGCCGCGATCGGGTTCCCGGAGCCCGAGAAATGGGGGCGGTTTTTGGAGGGCGCCCGTTTTTTGGGAGTGGAAAGGGAAGCCAACATGACTTTGGTGCATTTTGCCAAGGGATGTTAGGACTTTAACTTTTTGCCAACTAATGGGTTTTCCATTAAACCACTAAAAGTTAAACTGTTAGCAGGGGAGCAGAAAGCAACCGAGACGACAAGCCTTTCATTTTGTTTTCGGGTCCGACTTTTTTGACACAGACCCATCTCAGCTTCCCTGAGGATTTGTTTGGGGGACGGTGTTGGGACCCAAACCGAGTCTGTAGCGTGGCTACAAACTGCCATGCCCGTTCTTTCTCCATTTGCATTCCATGAGCTGGAGAAGGTTTAAACGTGAGGTGGGGACACAAAGAACCCGGGCAAGGGACCATCCCAGCCATGGCTCGGTGCGGATCTTCGCCTGTTGACCTTCTTCACTTGGGCGTGGGTCAAAATTTACACACCAGGGGACTGCAGATTTGGTTCCATTTTGGGTACCTACTTTGACCCACAGCCACTTGGTTTTGAGTGGACCACTTAGCCACATCCCACATCCCGTTTAGCTCGCAGGACAAGCGCGAGATGTTCCAGCACTGCATCTCCCAACTGGCGGCCTCAAAGGCGACCGGACCTTTCACGGGCCGAATCCACGTAGCGCAATTTTGATGGCTATGTTACTTTGAGAACCCCGTCGAAGAGCAGGGGCCTCCCAGGTTGGTCTGCACAGGTGCGGTGACGATCTCTTGGCTTGTCTATGGTTGATTTGGGCGGGGGGGGGGGGATCTGGGTGAAGGGAGAAATTTCAGCCGCACAAACTGGGGCTGTTTTTTTGTTTTTAGTTTTGTTTTGCTTCTTTTTTCGAAAGTGCAGTGTTGCCCAGGCGGATTCCTGGGTTGCGTAACAAGGTGTTGACGCAAGACATGGTTTTTCCTGTAGCTGCAGGTGCCATTACCCATAGCTCTACTTGAGAGAGCCCGGCAGGCGGATCTCGAGGCGTTGCATGCGAGCCAGTGCAAAGATGGCCGCTATCCTAGACTCTCGGGGCGGAGGAGTTGGTGAGTGGACAAGAGTGGCGGTCGGTGCGGGCCTGGCATATGGAGTTTTGACGGCACCCCGAGTCCCCAATGCGGCAGCACATACGTGAGGTCTCGTGATCCTGAAGGCCCACCTGCGACCTTTGCTGGAGCCCCTGGACAAGCTGGACTACAACATCTCGGAGGCCAGTGAAAGCCTATATTTTCTTTCCGGGCCAGTGACATGGATGTGCGGAATCTGTCTTTATTGGGTCATCAGGCTACCCGCTTTTTAAGTGGCAGCTGTGAAGAAGGCTTTGGGAGACAGTCGGCCCACTGTCCACTTCCATTGCAATGATGGTAGCCGCTTGCAAGTGAAGAAGGCATTGGCTGCAGTGGCCAGGCGCAGTATGCGGACTACCAGGTGAATGACCCTTTTGCGAAGGAGCGCTTGAGCGAGCTACCAGTTTTCTGCTTTAGTCAGAGGAAAACACACAACTGGGTTGTGAGAAAAGAGCCGTAAATAGCTGAAAGCTATAAGGGGTTCTTACTCCTAAAGAAGGGCAGGCTGTTTTGCGATTTCGGGCCAAGTTGGTGCTGGAGGTGTTGGTGAGGGTGCTGTTTGGGGTGCGCTGAAGGGCCTATTTGGCGATGCAGTCAGGGTGCTGTCTGGTTCTGTGTGTTGCGGGTGCTGGTCTGGTTTCTGTTTGGTTTGCTCAAGGTGCTGTGGTGCAATTGTTGTTTTGGGTGCTGATCAGTTCTTGCGAGCTCAAGGTACGGTGGCAGTTGCTCTTGGTGTTTGTTTGGGGCATGCAGTGTTGTGGCTGCTCAGAGTGTTCTTTGGTGTGCTCAAGGTGGTGGTTGCTAGGGGGTGCTTGTTTGACGATGCAGGCAAGGTGCTGGTCAGCTATTTGGGGGCTATGCTGGTATATATAGTTGTTACAAACCCCGGTTTGGTGCTGGTTGGCTGGTCCAGCCTTGCTCAAACATAAAGCTGCCAATTAGCGTTGGTGGTGAGTTTTGGGCTTGAAGCGATCTTAATGAAAGCGGGTCTCTGGTTTGTTTGGGGCTCGTTTGGCTGGCAAAGTTGGTTGTGGGGCATTGCCCAAGCCACCAAAACTTGCCCAAAACTCACGCAAGCACGCAGAAGACAGCCAACCCACTTACACATTTTGGAAACCTCCAGATCACCCAAAGCCACTCTCTGCCGCCTAATCATAGCTGATTGGTAGCCCCTTGTGATTCTGGGGAAGCAGGGGATGCGGAAGGGACTCGCGAGATATCTCGTCAGCCCAGAAAGCTCCTAATGTATCGGCGGAACCGGGGCGAGTGCCAAATCAAAGCTCAGATCCACTTGTACTTTTTGCAGCCGGGTGTGAGCGACCCGCTGCAGGCGTTCAACGCGCAAGCAGATGTCATTCACCAGCACATCAAGGCTCGCAGCACATGGCACCCTGCAAGCGCAGGGAATTGTCAATGCAGGTGTCCTCACGTGTCCTTTTTTGTATTTATTAAGAAGGCAGTTTCATGGCCTTTAACTGTCGCAAAGTTTGGGTGGGTTTGATGTGGTGCCCGTGTCCAACTTTGGGCGATACTTGGCTTGGACTCCACGGCTCTTGGCCTCAGGCTGTGCTGAACTCCACCTCTGCTGAAGAGATCATGCAGCCAGCCCGGCGAGGATTTCTGCGGAGAACATGTTGCCTGGATCGACCGAGCTCGCATTGACCGGGTGCTGCAAAACATGGAACCACAGAAGCAGGTCCCCCAAACTGGTTTTCTCGAAACAACGAGCGTTGATCTGCGGTGGGAGTGGTAGTCTTGCACTCCATGCCCATCTTTTCGGCGAGGCTTTAGCGGTCAGACATTTCATTGGCCCGGCGCCAGGCAAATGGCAGAGCAAACGTGCAAGCGACTGGAGAAGGCTCAGCCGTGCAGCAAGGGTTTTTGGCTTGTCAACTTGTTCTACAGAAATACGTCACAGACCCACAGCAACTTCCACTATCGTGCACTGCACTTACAGTGTCAGCATGCTCAGCATGCTGTGATTGCGAATGCACGCGATGAAAAGGAGTGGGCTTTCGCCTGAAGCAACTGAAACAAAGCTAAACCCAGCGCTTGCAAGGCGGCCTTGTCCAAGCGCTTCAGCCTGTTCGGTGCTTTGCAGTTTGAGAGCGATGCGAGCAGCTCAGCCTTGTGCCACGGGCACGGGTTGTTAGTCAATGGGCAAGGTACGATCCAAGGCTTTGCGGCACGTCGTGTTCCTGAGGTCCGTGCCATTTGCTCTTTTTTCACCAGCGTCAGCGAGCAGGCGCGGCAGTTCACTCCTGAGGAGTTCACCCCAAAATGGGCGGTCTTCATTGGTTTCCCTTTCATGAAGCAGCTTTTCACAGGTTACCCCACCTCACAAAGCACGATCAGCCGGTGGCATCCCTGGCTCGCGCCTGCGCAAGCGCCTGCGCTGGCCGGCATGCCTTGTGGGGGGCGACGCCGACGGGTAGGCCTTGAGGCACAAGTTCGCGCGGCTCTTCGAGATGTCCAGCCTGCCGGGGCCCGAGATCGGCGCATCGAAGGCCTCAGGAAGTCCGGGCGAGTCGCAAGGGGATCCTTCTTTTTTGGACCAAGAGGTCCCGGATTCCCATTTGGGACAGTGCTCCTTGTTCTTGGGCACGGATCAGCTTGGCAAAGATTTGTGGTTTTGCTTTTGTGCACATGTTTCTGTTCTGTCCAGTGGATCAGTGAAGGGAAACCAAAAGGAAAACCACATTCTTTGGGGTGCCTCTAGTTTGACGCATTCCCTTGAAGACCTTGCTCTTGTTGTCTCTGGATCGTGAGATGGGGGCCTGCCGCTCTTCGGCGGAGCTGCCAGTGCAGCCAGGGCTTGGCCAACCTCCCCAGCGTTCTTTTTCTTCTCTCCCATAGCATCCTCGAGGCTTTGGCAAGATGCAACTGCCTTGGGGTCGGGCCCGTCGGGACCGTCGGGATCGGATCCATCTTGTCGGGACGCGGGGACTGGTCAGCGGGGACCGCGGGAGGTTGAATCTGGAGAGTGTGGATGAGCTGCGGGAGCTTTGCAGCGAGCTGAAGACGCCTGGCGGAAACAGGGGGGGTCTGTCTCGACATGTGGGACCCCTCAAAAGTGCTTGGTGGAGAGAGTCCCCGGAACCCAGGGACATCAAAAGGCAACCAATCAAATAGAAGGGAACAAAGGACACCAACCACATGGAAGCGTCACTAATTCCGACAAGCGTCCAACTGCCCACTTTAATGAACAGCTACCATCCGAAAAGCTCATGCTAGAATCTGCAGAGATCGCAGAAAGCCAACATTCCAAGAATCGCTCCTTCAGTTTCTTTTGGAGGACCAACCTCTTTTGCAAGGCAAACCGAGCTACCGGCACAACCAGCGAAGTGCGAGTTGCTTGCACAGATTTGGCATACAGAGTTTTGGAGGTGGCTCTTCTGGCGTCATTGATACTTGTGCGGCAGGTAACAGTTGTTTCCCCCGCCCTTTGTCTAAAAAAATAAACAAGTTCCCACGACCAAAGCGCCTGAGACGCTTTTGGGGCACACGCCGCGCCTCACACAGGGGCGGTCACTCACCGGGGCGACCCGGGCTTTGCTGAGGACGTGGCGCCTCACGGACGAGGAGGTGCGGAAGCTCCTGCTGTCGCGGTCCGACTTCGAGGCCACCGAGGTGCGGAAGGTTCTGAATTCGGTCTTTCCTTTGGGCGAAATTTCGGTTTCCGGACGTGTGCCTGTGGTTTTGTTTCCTTTTTCATTCAAGTTTGCTTTCCTTTCCTTTCCCTCTGTGTTTTCGCTTTGATTTCCCTGTATGCACCCGAAAAAGGGGATGGGGTCTCAGCCAAGGCGATTCAGCGTGTAGGCTGCGGATTGAGGCTTTGCTTGTTTGGGCATCGCTTGAAAGTGCTGGTTGCGTAAAGTGGGGCCAGGGGTCGGTGACTACGCATTTAGCCGATCTCTAGAGTAAGGTCAATTTCCTTTTGAGACCCATAGACCAGTGGTCTTTTGAATGACGAATATTCGCCGCCAGCTGCCTACGCGTGCCAGGAAACTCTGGCAAATCTGCGGCTTTGAGGGCGCTAGCCTCCAAGTAGCACTCTACCGTAGATTGGGATGCGGAGAAAAGGTGCGCAGCTGGGAGGCCTGTTCTACGGACATGGCGTCAGCGGGAGATGTTTGGAGGACACGTCATCCACTCAGCGCAGAGGTAACTGGAGGAAATACGTACGGTACCTGAGGCGGAGCGCCGCAACTGACAGCTACGCTGAACAATCGGACTGGCTTTGCGCTAGTTTGAGACGAAAGGCGAATACTAAAAGTGAGCCATGGATGCGGCCACGCGACTAGCTTACATCGTCAAACCCTTTGGCGACATCCATTTGGAGCCAGGTAGTTGAGATGGGTTGGATAGAGCCTGGCTGGAACAAATGTTCAGACCGGCTGGCTGTGGTTTTGCTGCTTTACTTGTGCACTGCCGTGACAGCAACACTGCTTTGCCAACTGTCCGTGGCTTGCCATGCTTTTGCCCGGTAGTAGTGGCGCTTTGATCGTGGTTGCGTTTTTTTGTCGCATATGTGTCCCGTACCCAGCGCACGACTCAGCGCGCCCGCTTCAATGCCCAGCGCCTGATTCAACAGCTCCTGAGGACGCGGGGGTCTCCTCCCTGCCCCTTTGCCAGGGATCGCCGGCGCCTTCTTCCGCCATTTCCGTGGCACGAACTATTTGCGCGCCTTCCAGGAGATTTTTCATCCGCTGCAGTTTGCCCTGCTGGTAACCTCCGGAACGGATGCGGTGCATGCCTTGGCTGCCTTTGTGGAGCTTGAAGCCAAATCTAGTTGCCTCCTGCCCCTTTGCAGAGCTTGTGTGGGCGATGTCCTCGCCGCTGCTACGTTTCAGCGCGCATGTCCGAGAGGAACCGAGAGAAAACCAGTGTTTGATAGCGGTCTGGAAGACGCAGATGACCAAATCCAGAGATGTTTTGGGCGGAACCGCGGCCACAGAACGCGTGCGAGAGCAAGCCATCGGTCGGGCTCACGAACGCGAGGCGTCTCATTGGGCAATGTGGCCGCTTCAGACGAGGGCACGCTCACGTCAAACGCAGTGATCTGAGCGTCGTCAAGATGCTCAACTACCTTCCACGCAGTGCCAGTGAGGGAGCCCAGGAGGTTGCACACAGCCTCCTTCGTGCGCTTGGCGACCGATGTGGGGTACGAGGGGATTGGGCCATGATGGCCACACAAGATATGGAGCTGAGTGGGTTCTCATGCCATGTGTGCCAAGTTGTGTGGCACGCAACCCACAATCTGTTTTCTGTATGCACCCTGTTAGCCCAGGGGCTGGATTTGGACAGTGGGCGGCGTCAACAGTTCGTTGCGCGCCGTGCCACGAAGGAAAGCTGCTCAACGCGACGCTCCTGAAACTTCCGGATATACGCCAGTTCTAGCGGCTCCGCAGAGCCCCCGACCTGCACGGAGCGCGTGCCCCCAGTGATTGCCCGTTTTTGCGTGTTTTTTGCCTCCTCGCTCCAGCGGCGACCGACCTCGAGCTCAAGGACGACTAACCGGCAACGGTTGGACCTAAGCAGTTCGGGATAGACACGCTCCTTCCGCAGCGGCGCCTCAACAAGAGCGGCCCCGCGATCGCCCCGCACGGCGGCGGGGTTGGCCCCGCAGGGGCGAGACCAAAGTGGTGTCGACAGACAGCTGGGCACCGCCATGCAAGGACAACCCATTCGCAATGACCTCACGGCGCCGGTCATCGACGTGGTCGGCCAAGCGGGTGTTGGTGGTCACCTGGGCCCCAGCCTCACGGCACACCCGGGCCGCCCGTTCAAGAGCGCGCTCGCGACTCCGCAACACCCGCCCGAGAACACGCTGCACAGTGGTCCCCACGCCATTGGAGAATTTTGAGGATTTGCGATGGCGGCGGGGATATCAGCGCTGCATTCTGGCCAGGCCCCCACATCAATGATGACTCGCAGTGGCTTTTCTGGAAACAGACAAAGCACTCCAGGCCAGCCCTTGATGAAAGGGTTTCTGCAGGTCATTGGTGACCCAGACTCCACTTTGCCAGAGCTTTTGTCTGCAGGCGTCATTACTCAACCCAATTACCCCGTCAGGGTTGTCGCCTGCTTTTCAAGGGTTGTCAAACGAATTTTTGCTTCGTGACGAAAACTGGGCATTTGCAAGGGCTCGGAGGAAACGGCCATGTTATCCACACGCAGCTCGCCTGCAGTGGCAAGGGCAGGTTGCGGGAAACAAATTAGGCCTCGGCGTGTCGCCGCCCCGGAAGCCTCGCCTTGTAATGGACGCGGCCAGAAGCAACGTCAGCCGCAAATGCCTGATCCCGGAAAGGACGCGCTCGCTTACCATTGCAGAAGTGAAAAAGGTTTGCTCGGCCACACCAAAAACGCGTAACCCTTTTGTCGCTGGATGTAAAAAAGTGCGGCTCGCAGTTTTTCCAGGTGGGCCAGGCCCTTTTTCATTATGGCGTCTGCCACGGAGGGAAATGGAGCGCGTATTGGTGGACGAGGCGTGCGGCTTAGTTGATCGCTTGGTGCGCCTCCGGGCACTCCGCGCGCCTCCAGCCGTCCGCCGCGCGGCCGAGGCGGGCCGCAGGTGGTGGGCACTGCTCAGCGCCGCCTTGCAGCGCGCCCTCGCTTCCACTCTGCTCGGAGGACGTTGGCTTTCCCCCGCGCGGCCGGCTGCGCAGGGAGAGCCCGACCTCGCCGATGTCCCTTTGGCTGCCTCGTCCGGGCCCGGGCGGGGTCCCTCAGCTCCTGAGGAGTCTCAACGGTGCCGGGGGCCAGCGGGCTGGCCACCAACGCTTGCCGGGCAGCTGACAGCTCGCCTAAGTGGACCAGGTGACGCGCACTTTGGCTGGAGCGATCCGCTCTGGCTTCAGGCGTGTCTACACTGGGGTCATGGCCTCGGCATCTGACGATAGTGCCGACCAGGGTCTCCAGCGTAAACAGGTTTGAGAAGGTATTGCGCGGATGACTTTATCAAACCAGCGCAGGGTGTGCCGCGCTTCATCCCAAACCTTCACATGGGATGAGGCAAGGTTACATATACGAGCCCAGACGTTTCTGTCAGCATTACGGTGCTAGCACCACTGCTGAAACGCAGTTGGTGGAGGTCAAGGCCGAGGTCAAAGACCCACAGGTCATTGGTGCCATTGCGGGCATCTACAATCTCTTGGAGGGACTTGACACTGAAATGATCAGTGATACCTCCTTCGTTCCGCATATCAAAAAATATCGCCGCCTACGCGCGGCTGGTATTCTCCAGGCAATGATCCTGGATGAAGTGGAGCTGAGTGACCAAAGCGTCTACACGGCTTCAATGGTCATTTGCGAGGCCATGCCTCGAGAGTCAGAGCTCCATTGCGAGCCGGCTATGAACCCGATTTTGGACATGACCGTGTCGACGGCCGTCTCCCCAGCGCTGGTTCCCCGAGGCGGGAACTGGTTGTACGATCTAGCAAAGACCGATCCGCGCTGGAGTACATTCTTTCAGGTTGCGAGTAAGAATGTTATTCGTGCCATGGAGACGGTTGTCGATAAGGGAAAGAGGGTTTTTTTTCCGCGCACGCGCCTTTTTCCGCAGTGGCTTCAACGTGTTTCAGGGGGGATTTTAAGGGGCGCCTCCGGGCACGGGAGGTCTTTGCCGCTGTTTTTACGGAGGCCAGCTCCTCACGTGCAGGCGGGCACCCTTCACCGGACGCGGCTGCGCGCAGCAAACGGCTCCCCGCCGTCAGCAAGCACGTCACTGACCAAGGGCGGCGGCCCATCGACACCTGCGGCCGAGTGGGCGGGCAAGGCCAAGAGGCTGGCAGCGTACGCCCGGCTCGCGCCCGCGGCCAAGAAGGAGGACCAGCGCCGGGCAAAGGCAGCCGACACGGCGCCGCGCACACGAGGCGGCACACTTCTCGCACGCGCCCGCGCCAGCCGCTGCACGAAGTCCACGGTTTCCGGGCTGAAGCGCCCGCCAACCTCAAGCGCAAGGACCACCAGCCTGCAGCGTGAGTCAGGGCGAAGGAGCTCCGGGTATGTGCGCTCCTTGGCCCGTCGGGCTTGGCGCAGGGCTGCACCCTCGGCTCGGTTCTGGTAGCGCCGCGGGGCACCTGTAGAGGACAAGGCCGACACCAGCGTGGAACCCACAGCAAGTTGCATGCCACCCCACAGGGGTAAGCCATTGGCTATGACTTCAATCCGCCGGTCATCTCCGGGCACGCTGCCGACATTGAGGTCCCTGACCAATGTGTGCATAGCAACCACGGCCCCTGCTTCACGACAAATGCGCGCTGCCGCCCGTTCAAGTGGGCCGCCCCGTGCTCGCAAGACACCAGATCGCGGACATGCAGAGCGGTGATCGCCGAGAGCGTCCTGCTCCCTTCCACACCGGCATCGCGCAGGGACGAAAGGCAAGGGCAAGCGCAGGCGTCGCAACAGCAACACACGGAAATGCGAGGGCTCCAAAATCAACTCCGGGCAAACGGGGAGCATCAAGAAAACCTGGGCTGAGCACGGTCCGGACTGGGACAGCAGCATGGCTGCAGAGGCTGCATCCAAGTTGTCGCTGTGGGCAGCCGCACTTTGCAAGTCAAGAGCTGCCGACGCTGCTTTCTGCCACCCCCGCCCGATGCCAGGGGCATCGTCCTCAACATCATGTGGTTGCGGCGCATCGTCGCCAAGGAGTTGGTGCCACTGAGGGGCCTCAAACCCCTGCCGAGCGAGCAGGGTCACGGTTGCCTTGAGCGTGTCCAGGACACGGCAACAAGGCACATCCGGCTCAAGTTGGCGTACAATATGTTGCGCGAGGTCGGGATCTCTGCGCTGGATCGCCGACAAGCTGTCAGCCCACGAGGCCCAAAACGCCGCGGGTGCATGCAACCGGGCTGAACGCAGCCCTAGTCCACCATGGCGGAAGGCAAGTTGGGACTGCCGACTGGCCGTGTCCGGGAGCGCCCCCCCGTCCTCTCCAAACAGCATCGCACTGAAACATCTCTGCACTGCAGCGTCGTGCTCAATGGCAAAAAGATCGGTGAGTTCTGGGGGTATGATACGAAGTGCATAGTTGGACCGCGGCGACGCGCAGTACAGCAACAGCAGCCAAGCGACCTGC